CACATACATACACCCCCCCACACACACACACACTCACTCACTCACTCATTCACTCACTCCCTCACTCTCTATGGGTCTTCAAAGATGTATGTCTAATGTCCAAAGCTTGCTTCTCAACTCACAAGTCAAGCTTGCCAAGTTTCTTCGAGTGTGACTCTAACTTTCTTAGCGACCGGTATCAAATTGCTCGCCATAATCTTTAGAAACAGTTGAGGGACGCGGAAAGGCAGAATGGTTGTTGGTGGGTGGGGGAGAGGGGTGAAGAGAGAGAGAGAGAGAGAGAGAGGGGTGAGTGTTTGGGGGAGATGGGGTACAACACAAAAGTTCGTTTACTTGTATAGTCCAACCAGAGAGACCAACTCGTGCCAGGCAATGAAAGGGATAAGGCCTTGCACAATCCACTTAAATGCAACATACACATTTAAAGCTACATAAATTCTGCATCATTTGACTCTGACACATTTATGTAGGCTAGGAGTCGCCCGAAATACGGTCATTCAAAGTACACAGAAGCGTGTTTCGAAGTCGAAGTGATGTGAGTCCTCCCAAGGTTGTTGGGGTTTGTTTTTGTTTAGTTGTTGTTTTGTTTTGGGGTTGTTGTTTTTTTGGGTTGTTTTTTTTTTAGGGGGGGGGGGTGCTGTTGAGTTTTTTCTTTGTTATTGGCTAGAATTATGATAGGCCAATCCCATAACGATGTCTACTCCATTCTGTTATTTTTTCAAGTTCTGTGGATGTGGCCATCAACAGCGACAGGTATAGAGTTATGTTACAAAAATGCAGTCCAGCTGTGGTTTAGGACACATCGTGACTGTTCTAACATTGCTGTAGGCTAGTCAAAGTTTAGCATGTGTATGCTCATTCCCATGTGTCTGCCTGCGGATACTTTATGAGAAAAAACCTGGTGAGTATCATAAATATGACATTTATAACGTCCTGATGGAGTATTTTGTTTTACCTTTTTGGAGTGCATTAGTACTTTAAAAAACGAAACCCCAAACAATCGCGTCAGTGTTTGAGTTTTACAATAGATGCGCGTGTAGGCAGCTGCCGCGTTTTAATGTAGGCTTGCGAGTAGTGTAGTGAAGATTTTCTGCTGCAATGTATTTTTTTGTTGATGAAAAAAGAATCTAATGTTGACAGATTTTAATAATTCTCTAAATAGGAAAAAGAGAAAGCTCTTTTCGACGACAGTGCGCGATATTATTCTTAACAAAGAGGTACTGTGCGGTCTGGAGTCTGGAGTCGCGCGCGTGTGTGTGTTGTTTTGTCTTTCACTTCTGAGATGCGACTTTGAAAAAGATGATAACCCCTTGACTGTAAGTTTTTGAACCTTTCAGATGTCCAACCTTATTTATTGTTTACAGCGTTTGTTTGCAGTCCCTGCCATTACAGTACTGGACCTATAGTAGCAAAGCGAGAATGCCCCAGTTTTGACAGAATGTCAATCAGGTTGTCAAAGAGATGATGATGATGATGATGATGATGATGATGATGATGATGATGATGATGATGA